CCCTCGGGGACGCTTCCCAACACCCCCCCCCCACCCCTCCCCCAGCCCAGGGGAAGTGGAGACGGGGCTTCGCCATGGGAACCGCCGTTGAACGGTTGATGCTGTAGCGTCTCTCTCCTATTGAGGCACTCTTTATTTTAGGGGACGCGTTGCTCTAATGTATGGAACATAGAAACGCAGTGGTAGGGTGGGTCTTATTACGCGATTTTGTATCCTCCCACCTTAAAATAGCATCGAGGAAAGGGGCCGCGTCCCCCTGAAGACAGCAAACGGCAACAGGGCGTGTTTTTCATAGAGAACCTTTCACCTCTTGATCCTTATGTAGCCATCTTCTCAGTGTTTTGTTTTGTTTTACAGAATTAGCCCTCTGTGCAAAGGTGATCTCCAAAGATCGGTGATAACTGGACTCTATTGCGTCAGCAGTTTTTTGCATTGGCGGCTTATCTCGATCGCTAAAATCGTTTGCGAGATGTTGTGTAAAACTGGATTTGCTTGAAGATTATATAAAAGAAGCTTCGAGATGAAGCCTTGCCCTGGCCAAGGTTAACCACTCCACTACCCGCAAGAGCGAGCGCGTAGGGCGGCGCCAGCCAAGGGCAGGGTGAAAACACTGTCACCGCCCTTGCGTCCGCTTTCGCTTTTCTTCTTTCGCACCTCACCACATCCGACGATCCGCTCTCAGAGTTCTTTCGCTCGAAAACCAGTTTGGTTGATTGCAGTTGAAAACCTCGTTTTCACTCTCCGATCCAGGCAGTCCCTACCATCACTTGTTAATTAAATGTTCAATTAAATGTTCAAATTAAATGTTGATACTTCTCGAATATTCGTTCAACCGATGTAAGCCGCATCTCGTCCGCTTCGCATGTTTGTCATGATTATTAACCCTGGCATTGTTAGGGAAGATTTGGCCGTCTACGTGTTGTAAGCTTTCTGCAAACCGGGAAGGGATATTTAAGTGACATTTATACTGATATGACCAAAAATGAAGTTTTCGCAGAAGTTCCTATAAAGAATCTTATTTTCAGAGTTCCGGCGTCGTACGTTCTGACGGTCCTTTAGAGAGCTTGTGCTTTTCTTTGCCGCTTTCCTCTCAGAATCAGAATTCAAGTGCATTTCTTCATAATGGTCCTTTAGGGGTTCCAAACAATCAAACAAACTTGTGCTTCAGTAGGGAAAGGGGTGCTAAGTTAGTTGGGGGGACCACGCGGCGGCGCGGCGCTTTGCTCGCCTGGCACTTTGCGTACTTCGGGAAATCCGTGAGCCAGGGGGACTGTAGGCAGTCTAGGGGGTGGGGGTGAGGGCAGTCACTTGACATGCGTGAAAAGCTGGAATGTTCGAGTTTACACTGTCTCGCTCGAGAGAGCCCAGGTGAGCAGACTGCCGCGCCGCCGCGTGGCCCCCCCCCAACTAAGTTAGCACCGAAAATAATAGCTAAAGCACTACAAGATAAAAAAAAAAATTGGAACAAGGTATTTGTGATGCATTAACAGAACGGAGTAGAAGCGTGGGATTTTGTTGCGACAGTATCGTGCCGATTAGCAGAAATGCCAGTTTCGAGAGGGGAAGCTTTGGGTCACGACATATTCTGCTTTCGCTTCACTTCCACCCCGTTGTCCACTACCTCCCCCCCGCCCCCTGCCGAATTTGGGATATCTACTCTGGTGGCACGCATTGTTGACGCTGAATGGTCGCCAATGAGTAATATAACAAGTTTCTGAACTTTTATAGACAAATAAAATTATAAGTGTACAAACTAATATAGTGGGACACCTTGACTTATGCTGTAATCCGGCTAACTTCCAGTTTGCACAAAGCACCAAAAGAAAGTGGGTGAGCAAGCAGTTTATGTTTTGCACCTGGTTACTTACTGTGGACAAAAAGCAGTGTACAAGCGAGGTACATTTTTTCAAGGGACACATTACCTGAACTTCCGAAATGGCGGTAATACCTTGAATTTATAAGTGGACAGGCAAGCAAGGAATGTAACTGGACCCTGCCAGCAATGCTCTGTTTCGACACGGCAAACGCGACGTAATTGGCGGGCTTAGTAGGGCTCTCACGTGTAATGACAGTTTCTTCGCCACAGATAGGATTAAATCGTCGTCGTTGAAGCCAATTTGAAATCAGCGCGACTTCTCTCTTTCTCCCCTCCTTTTACTGAGGGAGTCATAAGACTGGAGCTCTTTATTCTCTACGTGCACTGTCGAAATGCTAAATACTACCGTGTCATACCTTGACTTTCGAGTTACGATTGATTTCATGAAGAGTCCTCATTCCATCCTTTCGCACTTTCTTCTTCATTGTCTTCTGATGCACAGCTGTATTCATTGGCCCAATATTTACAATCGCCAGTTCTAATCAAATGAAGCTTTCGCACCCACAGATGATCCGCTATTAACCAGTCAATGGATAATTGAAATACCGCGGCTGCATTGTGGCCAGTTTTTTGCTGACCATAATCCATCAATTCGACAATTCTCCTGGGAGGCAGGGTCCGACTTGCTTTACCTTTTTCAAATTTCAACAGTAGCTTGGTGGGATTGTATAGGAAGTGACGTCCACGATTTTCTTCTTTCCTTTCGGTCTTCTGTCTTTCTTTGTCTCCTGATGAACATTTTACTCTATTTAGTCAAAGGAAGTGGACAGTAATAAACGAAATTCGCTAATCGATGACAAACAGAACTCGTTTGGACGATGGCTGCGTGACTGCTCAACGCAGCCCTTGAAAACCGCTCCTAGTTTCCATACTCTTGTTAATCCGCGCTGATCGTTTCGTTTGCGTCGCGCGGTACGTCAAGGGCGAAATGAGGCGATCGTTGAATGCGTAAAATATTTGGGCATATGAAGCTGGCAGTTGTGTCGATAAGGCCCTTTATAGTCCTAGTGGCCCTGAAGGTGATCGGAGTCCGCATTCGCCAATCACGCATATATCCGAGGGTAAGACCTTTGAATGCAAGAGCCTGCCATCCATTCTGGATCACTCTCAATTTGTCACCTCGTAGGGAAAAAGCCTGGCTTAATGACTGCCTAACCAGTACTTTGCCACATCTAAATAGAGACGTGTAATGCAACGCGCATGCCTCTAACAGCCGCTGAATGTTTTGTCCCCCTTGTCCTTTTATTAGTTTCACTCAAAAAATATTCAATTCTGAAAAGAAGGCTTCAATCTACAGCTGTTCACTAATGATTGCAAATAGCAAAGCGTTCATTTCACTTCAATGGAACGAATGAGTGCAACGTGGAGAGCTGGGGCGTACACCTGGAAGACGATTTTGAAGACCAAATGAGCCAGTAGTGCTAGAGCATTCGCTGTGTACGCAACAAGCCGCATTCACCGCATTCAAGTACTTCCTTTCAAAAAAAAACGAGAAGAGCGTTGGGTGCAGACCGTATACACCACAAGTGACGACGGTCTCCAAGTAAATCTGTTTAGTGGTAATTTATAGTGATAGCTGATTTTTGGTAAATGATAGCTGTAATTAGTGACAACTGATAGAATACAACTACGACCAGACTATCATTCAGAATCTATTACAGAATAGATATTACATTGTTGTGAAGGTCACGTAGTCATTGTGTGTAAACGTATCACACGACGCCCTCTCGTCACGTCTTTTTGAGAAAGGAGTGTACCTGGGGTTGAATTCGCCACGTTTTGGAAAGGAAGAGCCGCAGCGCTCGTCAATCCGGCGGAAGGAACGGAAGAAATTTAGGAGAAACGCACGTGGCCGCTCAGGACGTAAGCAAACCAGCCCTTTTGGCGCTTCGGCTGGGACCGTACGCTGAATGTTGGGGAGGGGATGGAGCCCCGACGGCGGACGGACCACTTCAACTCGGTTCTTAGAACCGCCACAATTTGGTGCTTACCTCAGAACTAAGCCTTAAAGAGAGGACGGGTCCGTCCCCTCTCCAAGGCTTAGTCCTGGGGTGAGCAAACCAGCCTTCTGGCGGAGCTGCTGGACCAGCTGCACCACTTGCGTCAGTACTCTCCTATCGTACCAACCGAGTTGAAGTAAACCGTCGACCGTTGGGGACCCCATCCCCTCCCCAACATTCAGCATACGGTCCCAGCCGAAACGCCAAAAGGGCTGGTTTGCTTACGTCCCTCAAGTGTCGCCAGGAGTTGTTAATATCTCGGAATGAGGTAAAGTAATGTGGGGGTACAACTGTAGTCGAAGGGGAGGCAGTTGGGGTGCTATGCTCTACTCTGTTCTTCTGCGCTTTTCCAAGAAGATAAGAATAAGATTAGTACAAAGCGAAGAGTCCTGATACAGAATGAATGTAGGGGGCCGAGAAAGAATGATTTGTCTGGATTACTGGCAATCGATCATAAGGAACACACAGTTGCGGCATCATACAACTGAAGTTAAATTATGAATGTATTGTAATTGTTATTGCAAACCCTTGGAATTCCATAGGCAGCGTTCATGGCCACAGCTTTCGAGGACGCATTTCGCCAGGTCGCCATCGCCGCGACGCGTGGCCAAATGGCGCGTTGTACTCGGCCACTCTTGTTAACATTCTGTTAGCAATCATTCACTTTCAGCTCATTTATTTCGATTAAATTTTACTTTGATATTACCTGTCTTCAGAAAACGAAGTGCGTCGAGTGCAGACCACACACCACAGTGACGACGGCCTCCAAGTAAATCTGGTAACTAGTGATTCATAGTGATAGCTGATAGTTGGTAAATGATAGTTGTAATTAGTGACAACTGATAGAATACAACTGCAACAGGCTAATCATTCCATTGCATACACATTTTGAAGAGGCCGTCGTATTTTGTGATGTGTGGTCTGCACTCGGCGCTTCCGGTTCTCTGAACCAGAGCATAACTCGAACTGCGACTTCGCGTGTCTTCCAGTATGAGTGCGATTTTCACTGCTGGACATCAGAGTGGAGGATCTTTCAGCGGAAACGTCCAGTGGTAAAAGGCGCTGTATCGCGGAGTCTAGCTGTCATCAGTGAAAAATGTGGTAATGATTATGGGTGCTAACGAATGGCGATAGCAGATCGCCTGTTTCGCGAAGGTTAGTGTAGTAGGAAGGCTCCCAGACAATGCCTAACCATTGGGCGCGGCCGCGGCGAACGCGGCCGAGTCGATTGTGCCCGCGAACCGTTGAAAACGCACTCGAGGTGCCCGCGAACTGTGCTGTGCTGAGTTCGCGGGCACCTATCAACTCGGCCGCGTTCGCCGCGGCCGCGCCCAAATGGTTAGGTATTGTCTGGGAGCCGCAGTAGGAATGAAAGCTAGTATGGACCTGCTGCCCTTGAAACATTAAGCCCCAATTTTCAACGATACACATTTTTAAGGGCGCATCAATCGTGCATGCATTTTCAGTTTAATGATTTCAAATGACGGTCGTAATCTGGTGCGCAACTAGAATACATTAATGTATGGATGCGCTCACATGAATACGCTGCAATGGAACTTGATCATGATCATCAAAAGACTAGTATTTGAAAAAAGTGATTCGCTCATATCCAAACCAGAATGATCACGGGAGCAGGAACTGTGAAATCACTGTGGTTTTCCATACTTTTGTGGATAATTCTATGTTCTATAATTCTTCATTGTGTTAATGACATTACACTGTAACTATAGTAGATATAGCCAAAACTATAGCTGTAGTGACAGTGCTCCTCCTTTCAAAAAACGAGAAGAGCGTCGGGTGCAGACCATACACCACAAGTGACGACGGCCTCCAAGTAAATCTGGTTAGTAGGTTCATAGTGATAGCTGATTTTTGGTAAATGATAGTTGTAATTAGTGACAACTGATAGAATACAACTGCAACAGGCTAATCATTTCATTGGCAAAAACATTTACATTTTGTGGAGGCCGTCGTCACTTGTGGTGTATGGTCTGCACCGGCGCTCTTCTCTTTTTTGGGAAGGAGTATAATGCTGGGAAGAGAAGTATCTCGGTTTTAGAGTATGGTAGGACGCATTTTACAAAATTACATACCAAATACTATGGGAATCAGTAGTAAACCTAACGATGAGAGGAAGGGAGTCGATTTAGTTGAATCTCGTGGAAAAATGAAGATTGGCGTCACGTATGAGGCACTACGTGCATTGCGCGCCAGCGGCATTTAAAAATCGGCATGCCTTCCCTCCCCCCACCATCTAGTTTTGCACACTGGAAATAAGGCGATCTGTTTCCGTTTCTAGTGGAACTCTCATTGAGTGGAAACAAACTTTTATATTCTTGGTCGATCCTCAAAACGCAGGTTCTCTTGCGTGGTGTCTTCCTCTCGAGAAAGTTTTCTGAACTGGCTTACAATTAGTAATGACTAAGTAGTGATGACAAGGCTATTAGTTTTCAAAAAAGATTAGAGGTTCGCCTAAATCATGAATCTGTTCGGACTATTTGTCAGGCCTTGGCACAAAGGCCCAGAAAAACTTGCCCGTTAATTGTTGCGATGTATGTTTAACGTGAGTCATAAGCACCCAGTTTCCCCTTCTAATGATGAATAGCATCACGAGTATTTAAGTATTACAGCACAAAACGTTTGGTGTGTCAGCGTGATGCTTGAAATGTTAAAGGACATTTCACAAATGCTTTTACACTTCCGATCGACCTTTGAGCTTAAATATGTGAAAAATTTGTATCGATTTCTTCTACACTAACTTATTCTCGAAGCATAAACTAAGCTAAAGACAATCTGATGGTTTGGAATATCGTGCATACCTAACGTTTCTGGAGATTAAGAGATTCTGCGACAGGCTTGATTTGGAGAATCAGCTGAAAAATATTGGATATATGTTGTTTGGGATGATGGAAGATTAGGATACTTTGGTTCAATCGACCAATGCGCATCTGATCTTTCAGCAGAATCCCCAAATCTTCTGATCTCTTGGTTTACTTTTCAATCAATACATATCTTTTCCATCGCTTCACGTCCTAATTTCTCAAAACGTTGACCATGAAGGCTGCCTTCGAGACTGGCAGATAGATTTTGTTGTTTTTGTAATACTACAGATGTGATGGTTCCGTGTGAATTTTGACTCACAGAAGGCAAAATATCGTCCGAAATTTGGCGAATTCTCGGGGACGCACCTTAAATTACCTCGCTTTTTTGCCTGTAACGTCTTTATGTATGTTTCATTTTTCCTTTGTGTTCGCTTCAGTGCATCCAATCAGTGTAATCAAACTTGCCTTGGTTGGTATCGAGGAGGGTTCTTCTATGTTATTCCGCAAAAGGCAAACTAGTTTTCTTCTTCAAAATCAGATTCGAACATTATTTTCAATTTCGTACTTTCCATTAACTTCTCATGGTTTGTTCTACAAATAGTGTCGTATAACTTCGTATAATGTATGCTATAATTTCATTTTGAGACCTTAGCTAGTATTTTTATGACTTAATATCTCGTGGATTTTAACATGGGAAATAAAACATGTCTGATCTGTTTACAGTTGAACCTCTTGGGACGGCGGCTGTTGCCGATGTAGTAGAATATGCATTTGGAGACGATAACGAGCTCGAAAAAAACGGACCGTGACTAGTTCTTTGCATGACTTTATTCTGTGTAATTATGTGCTAATAATGATTACTTCGAAGGGAAATTCGGTTCAAACCCAAATCCACTTTTGGTATCCCGAAGCTTTGCACATTTCAATGTTCTCTTGTCTCTTAAGTGCATATTTTCATCTTTACCAGTGTTTTGAACTTTGGTGCTGTGATGAAAATTTGACGTAGTTGTATGTTCATTGTTTGATTTGATAAGGATTTTGACTGACAGCAATTCCTTCTAAACTTACTCTAGAGCTAAGTGTTCTTCCTAAAAGCATTTCGCACCCTATTGTAGAATATTTCTTGGTCATACCATTCCCCAGTGATCAATGATGACCATTAATCGTAGTCGTTTTCGCACTTCCAGCACTGCACTTCATTTTAAAAGCGTGGCTTTATAGCTCTATAGTTGATTTGCTCGGTTTGGGCGCGCCATTTTTCCCCATTGATTTTCCCTCATGTCGAGACCTTTTAGGGCGGTTTTAAAACGCTCAGTTTCTCCTGACACATATACTTTCCCTTGCCTGACACTTTTCTTTAATTATTCATGAACTGCGTGATGCTAGCCACAGTTTAGTTGAGGAGCTACTGTCATTCTTACGCTTTGTAGGTTAATATTAAGCAATATTTTTTACAGGCCTTGAATCGATCGTGAATATATCTGTACATTTGTATAGACATCACTTAGAATTCAGAGTTCATACATTGAATTCTATTGTACCATTTTTTTGGTTTTTCCTCTGACAACTTTTTACTGGTTAGATAAACGAGGAACAGGTCGATAAGGTGATTAGGCCTCTTTGACCCGTGGTTTCTCTTCTTTCTTTGAGATTTTCACATTCTGCCCATTGGTTTTTGTTTCAGTTTAGTTATCGTTTGTAATAGGATACGATATCTTTCCATGGTAATTCGCTCTTGAAGATGCTTTCCTCTTAATATCCGCATTTGTAATTAGCGCCTATTCTATGCAAGTGCGCTGCAGAAAAAGGGTGGCAATTAGAACCATTTTACAACACAAGGTGCCCAGAATAATAATAGAATTGAAGGTGCAATTTCAGCATATTTATTTGAATTTATATCAATAAGAGCGGCTAGCACTGTCATGCTATAGTCATCGAAAAGGCCATGCCATCTATATAATGGACTTTACTGACGGCTTCATTGTATTATTAGTTAAGATCGAAGGGTTCCTAAGTTTCATTGTGTTGATTTCTCGGCCATCAATTCAAATGAAACTCTTTCAAACAGCTTTATGGCCCGAAACGTCCCACAAAGCTGTTTGAAGAGTTTCATTTGTATTATTAGTATTGAAGCAGCCAATT